CTCATCTATAGTGTAGGTTTAGTTAATAGTAGCTAGTTCGTAGGATTATTGTGATAGTTATGTTAGTTCATATACATAAAGCACTTCAGACTGCCTAGAACAACTGGAGTGATTGAACCATCAACATCATCATCATCATCATCATCATCATCATCATTACTGAGTTTCAGGGAAGAAAATTTGTTAAATTCTGCTTTGCAGAATTAATGTTTACAAAAAGTCCTTTCTGTAAGTTTGCTTTGCTTTCAGAACCAACAACTAATCAGGCTGTGCTCTGATAATGGAATAGGCTCCCTCACGAGGAGTGAGCTGCATTGTGGGTACACTACTGAAGCTGGAAAGTGATTTCCTACAAGCCCTACAGAACTGATTTCTGCACCATAGAGAGATCGAAAGAGATCCCTCAAAGGTCCCAATCTAATAAATGATTATATGCATCACTCTGAGGTTCCTTTCAAGCTCCAAAATTCTATGACTATTTAGCAGATTACCATATACAGAGTTAAGAAGATGACTGGCCAGGAACCTGCTATTAATATTATACTCTGAACTGATAATATGGAAACTTATACTTCCACTGAAAACCAGAAATCTTTAATTTATTCCTGTGCTCTGAATAGTGAATTTCCATAGCAGTAAACCAAGTTTGGTGACTCAAGCCTCTCAGCAATTCTAGAAAGGAAATTGTGAAATTATTGGTGTTTGCCAAGAAAGTAATTCCAGTTTGCCAAAAGAGGGAGCATGGGAGCAAAGAGCATATGTTTGTCCAAGTATCTAAAAAAATACTTGGATTCTGTATTTTACTTTCTAGTTTCTTTTGCATGGATAGGGTAGGACTACATAATAGTTACAGTTAACTTTTCTCTTTTTAAGATTATGTTAAGGCCAGGAGCGGTGGCTCTCGCCTGTAATCCTAGCTCTCTTGGAGGCCAAAGTGGGCGGACTGCTTGAGGTCAGGAGTTTGAAACCAGCCTGAGCAAGATTGAGAAGCCGTCTCTACTAGTAAATAGAGAAATTAATTGGCCACTAATATATGATATAATATATATTAGCCAGGCATGGTGGCACATGCCTGTAGTGCCAAGCTATCCGAAGGCTGAGCAGCAGGATGCTTGAACCCAGGAGTTGGAGGTGCTGTGAGCTAGGCTGACGCCATGGCACTTCACTGTAGCCTGGGCAACAAAGCAAGACTGTCTCAAAAAAAAAAAAAAAAAAATTGTTAAGACCGTAGGGTCAAAGATCAAAATTACACAGAGAAACTGGATGTGGTGGCGCACACCTATAATCCTAGCATTCTGGGAGGCCAAGGTGGGAGGATCACTTAAACTCAGGAGTTAGAGATCAAGCAGAACAAGAGCAAGAACCCATCTCTACAAAATATAGAAAAATTAGCCGGGCCTGGTGGTATGTGCCTATAGTTCCAACTAATTGGAGGCTGAGGCAGGAACCCAGAAGTTTGAGGTTGTAGTCAACTATGATGATAAGACTGCACTCCACATGGGGAGACAGAGCCAGACTCTGTCTCAAAAAGAAAAAAAAAAAACACAGATAACTTTTAATGATCCCACTCTCTCCTCCCCAGACAAAACATTCACCTCATGCCTGGCTGCCACACACCAAGCAGCTATAATTAAATTGCTCTCATTAAAAGGAAGGGAAGTGGGAGCTAAGCCAGTATGAGTACAGAAATAATTGCATATTTATGGATAATGGCTATAAATTCTCTCCTGGCTATAATGGATTGTCTAAAAAAGAAGGATTTGTTGAACATATATACTTCTCACTTCACTACTACAATGAAGTTACTGATAACCAAGCTTAAGGAAAGGTAATCATCAGGGTGCTATCTTACCCACTCCCTAGGGCCAAACACTCCTTCATGCAAAGCAAGAGGAATGATGTAAGCACCTAGAACCCTTTGTAGAAACAAGTCCTTTACTCACACTCATTAGTCACTAAGATGTATGCTTATGCAAGACAAGGTATCTATCAGACACACATCTGCATACAAAAGTCATTTTTTCAATACAAACTTTGCCTCTTTGTAAAGGCAGCTATGGCAGGTTACCCATTTGTGCATATTTTTAAATTCAATTCAGAAGAATTCTGTAAATTTATACATATTTAGTATGAGCAACATATTCAGCCTCTTATTTATTCAAATGACCAGAAAGTACTCTGTACTATATTAGCTTAAAAACTTAAGAAACATGCATGGAAAATACAGAGCTTAAAACTTTCCAAAAAATTTATAAATTATATATACTAATAATTATATTAATAAATAAGACATTTATATTTATTTGATAGTTTAATGAAATGGCTTCTATTATTATTCATGTCTGCTGAATTAAAGCAAAATGATAGAAAATATTAATCTAAAGAAAAAAGTAGGTGTTCTGTAATTTCTGGTTTGATTTCCATATGTCTTTGAACAATGTTCTAAGACCCTTCTGGTATGTTCTCCAGACCTGGAAAATACATAGTCTTGGATTCACTTGTTAATAGATTTATAAAAGAAAATTTCTTGTCCTATTATAAAATTCTTCTTAAAGGACAACCTTTAAAGTTGGATTGTTTCCTGAACAAATAAAGAAAACAAGATAAGCAGTGGCTTTTTGAAATTTACAATTTGTACAGTCAGTCCCATGCAACAGCTGGCAACACCAAGTCCTTAGAAGAAGGAAATCTGTGAACACAGAGACTGGTTTTACAGGCTACATTTTTCTCCTTTATTTGGGCCATCACATGAAAGACAAATTATTTTCCAAAATGATTAAGTACTCTCATCATCAATTAGCCAGCAAGAGAATAAATCCTGAAGGAAAAATGTAATAAGCTCTTTTTCTGTAAGTGCCAGCTGCCAAAAACTGTCATGGTTGGTCAAAGCTTTTTAATGTTCCAATCAAATCACAAAATGAGTGGAAAGTCACTGCACAAAACCCATTAAGCTGCATTACTAAATGTCCAATGTTATATAAAAACTATAAATAACTTTGTACTTTTAGGGGTTTTTTTTAATTTGCTTTCCTTGAAGTAATAATGATGTTCTGCTTCAGTTAATAAACTAATTTTGAAGCTGCCTTTGTATTTAATACACATATTCTTTCTGTATGGAATAAAGACGGCAAGCAATAATTAAATCAGTAGAATTATAAGTATTCCTTGGCATATATGTCATTAACAATTTAAAAAATTTAGAGGAGCACCAAAAATAATGAAGGGCTAAAAAAAAAAAAAAAAAAATGATCACCAGGCTTAATAATCTTGTGAGTTGACTTTCTGCTGGGAAAATAAAATGCTGTTTCTTAAAAGGGCTCTAGTCTTTTTCAAATATTTGCAAAGGAATTCATATTCTGGTTAAAGGAGCATCACCTACTACTGGCTTAAAAATAAACCAGTAGCCAAAACCACACAAATATATCTATCTCAATGTCTAAAAATACTGAATTAACATGGGTTTGTTTCTACATACTAAAACACAGCTTTTTCTTTTAGTGCATAGTCAATCTACTAGTTGATCTAAAGGCACAAATGAGAATGCTAGTAGCTGATACTTGCCCAAATAAGAGGATAAAATAGGCAGATCAGATTCAAATCACTTGCTAACACTGAAATTCTTTTTTTCTTAAAAAAATTTTAAAGACGTTTCTTTATCCACTTTTCTGGTAAGTCCACTTCTTCCTTGGTCCAATGGATCCCATCTCTTTTTGCTATAGCTGCTAGATTTACCAATAATCTCTAGCCAGTCCTAGGTTCTTTGATCACAAAAAAACTTTATAAAACAAGTTTTCAAATAAAAATTAACAGTAGAAAACACATGGGATCAAAGAGATCCACGTTTGCATATTTTGCACAGGGTAGAAACAAATTTCTTCTTTAAAAAAAAAAATTTTTTTTTTTTTGAGACTCACTCTGTTCCCCAGGCTAGAGTGTCATGGCGGCAGCCTAGCTCACAGCAACCTCAAACTCCTGGCTCAGCAATCCTAACTGCTCAGCCTCCCGAGGCTGCTGGGACTACAGGCATGGCGCCACCACCCGGCTAATGTTTTCTATTATATTTTAGTTGGCCAATTAATTTCTTTCTATTTTTAGTAGAGACGGGTCTTGCTCTTGCTCAAGTGGTTTCGAACTCCTGACCTTGAGCAATCCACCCGCCTCGGCCTCCCAGAGAGCTAGGATTACAGGCGTGAGCCACCACGGCCGGCCTAAAAAAATTTTTTTATGATAACTAAAAAGAGTAGCTAAGACTGACACGCTAACAATTTGAAATTTGAGTTTCAAGTATAAAGACAAGATATTTTGAATAATATACTGAAACTAAAATTAAGCAAAGCATAGTATATGAATATGAATTTAGTATCTTTAAAGAAAAACAATGAACTCCTCAAGTACCCTGTCAAAATAAAGGAGAGGCCGGGCGCGGTGGCTCACGCCTGTAATCCTAGCACTTTGGGAGGCTGAGCGCGGCGATCGCTCAAGGTCAGGAGTTCAAAACCAGCCAGAGCGAGACCCCGTCTCTACCAAAAAAGAAAGATTAATTGACCAACTAAAATATATATCAAAAAATTAGCCGGCATGGTGGCGCATGCCTGTAGTCCCAGCTACTCGGGAGGCTGAGGCAGTAGGATCGCTGAGCCCAGGAGATTGAGGTTGCTGTGAGCCAGGCTGACGCCACGCACTCACGCTAGCCTGGGCAATAAAGTGAGACTCTGTCTCAAAAAAAAAAAAAAAAAAAAAGAACAAAATAAAGGAGAGATTGGAAGCACTTTGAACTCCTGAATTTTATTTGGAATCTTGTGTTAACTTTTTAGTATATGATAACATCTATTTTCTATGAAAATTTTTTATTTAAAATTAGTCCCCAAGACTGTATTATTCAATTTATAATAAATTTTTGGTTAAAATAAGCAATAATCCTTCAATTTAATGTAATACTAGAATATATTTACTTTATAAAGAATAAATTTTTGACATAAAACAACTATACAAATTTTAAATAAACAGCCATGATATATGTACCAAGTTTTATTTGCCTTTAAATTATACAAATAGAACAAATTTGTTATTCAAAATATTAATTTTTTTTTTGCATTTTACAGAAGAAAAAGAAACTGAAGTGAAACTGTAGGAATTGCTGAACTTCAGATAAATGTTTCTTCAAAACAAGAGATATTAGTTCCTAAAAGATTCCTCTAAAGTTAAAAAAACATTAAGAAAAACATTAAGCCATTGGGTTATTACATTTTTAAAAACTACATGCTTCTTAATGGACATATGTTTACATTTACAGATAGTAAACTTAGCCTCCTGTCTTGTAAAACTCAGAAGACACCACTGAAGTCTAAACTAAGCAAAACAATGAAAGCCTTATTTTAAATGAAAAAACTTTAAACTCTAAATCTACCTTAACATTATTTTCCAAGAAGTCTTAATAAAGAATACCTAATCTGAAAGCAAAATGTTTTACAAATCACTTTCAAGAAAAGAAATATATAATAGGATCATGCTTATAGTTAGTAGTATCAACTAAAATTCTAAACAATGACATAAGAATTCAGAGTATCAGCCGGTCCTCTCCTCCCTCCTGAATTACCTGACCAATGGAAGTTTGGCTTTGTTGTTTCAGAAAGCACTGTTTCTTACATTCCATCAATTGTTCAAAATCACGCCACATTTTTGCTTGTTTCATATTTGGACCATGACTTTCTCGTACAGCTTTTTGTTTTTCCCGAAGCGTCTATCATAAAAAAATTAAGAATAATTAAATCTCAGTTACAGGGATTTATTTCTATTGCTAGAGTCAGAGGAATATGGTATATTTTATACATTTGATGGATAATAGTTAAATAAACTAGATTCTCCTACAATGTATCAAAACTAAGATTATAAAAGTTAATTAAATTTAAGTAAGATGTAGAACAGCTTGAAGTTTAAGAGAAGAGAAAAATATGAAGGAAAGGAACGGGAAAAGATAACGGGAATCAGAAAAGTAGAACAGTATCATATTGTAGAAAAAAGAATGTAGATTTTGGAATTCAGAACTCAAGTTTTTGTTGTATTTTTTTATTTTTATTTTGAGACAGGGTCTCGCTCTGTTGCCTGGGCTAGAGTGCAGTGGCATCATCATAGTTCACTGCAACCTCAAACCCCTGGGCTCAAGCGATCCTCCTGCCTCAGCCTCCCGAGTAGCTGGGACTAAAGGCATGCACCACCCTGCCCGGATAATTTATTCTATATATATTTTTAGTTGGCCAATCAATTTGTTCTATATATATTTTTAGTTGGCCAATTAATTTGTTTCTATTTTTAGTAGAGACGGTGTCTCGCTCTTGATCAGGCTGGTCTCAAACTCCTGACCTTCAGTGACCTTGAGTGACACACTCCTGACCTTGAGCCTCCCAGAGTGCTAGGATTACAGGCGTGAGCCACCAAGCCCAGCCAGAACACCAAGTTTTAACCTTGGTTTTGTCACTAGCTGTAAGCCAGGCACCTAATTTCTCTGGACCTCAGTTTTCTCAAGTGTCAATTAAGGCTAATAATAGGGGAAAATAAAAGTATCTACTTGATAAGATTATTTTTTCACATGATAGATACTAAAATACTTGATAAGCTATCATTTGTGATGCATGCTATTAGTATTATTAAATATTATATTCTATCCTGAAGCAGTGCATACTCTATGTATTTCTAAATAAATCAAATTATAAGCGTATATTCTTCAGGGAGAAGGCTCAGTGATTTAAAAAAAAAAAAAGGCTCATCTATCAGTCAGTCCATTGCCAGAGGAGTAAAACATAGTTTAAAGTTATAAGAAATCAATAAAATTTAAAAAAAAAAGTTCACTATTAAGTAGGCCAAAATCCTTAACAGAATTGTTTTTATTAGCAGGGTGCGGGGGCTCACGCCTATAATCCTAGGACTCTGGGAGACTGAGGCAGGAGGGTCGCTCAAGGTCAGGAGTTTGAAACCAGCCTGAGCAAAAGTGAGATCCTGTCTCTACTAAAAATAGAAAGAAATTAGCCAGACAACTAAGAAATATATAGAAAGACTTAGCCAGGCATGGTGGTGCATGCCTGTAGTCCCAGCTACTTAGGAGGCTGAGGCAGGAGGATTACTTGAGCCCAGGAGTTTGAGGTTGCTGTGAGCTAGGCTGACGCCACGGCACTCTAGCCCAGGCAAGAGAATGAGACTCTGTCTCAAAAACAAAAAACAAAAATGTTACACTGGAAGGGGGAAAGAATTATCTTTAAACTGATTTAGCAATTAAGCTTGGGTCTTTGAAAGGATTCAAAGTTTGATAAGTATTCCCATACATACAGCATCCATCTAGATACCTTTAAAAATAAAAGAAAAAGAGAAATGTTTTTATATGAAAAAAGTACAACACTTAATATGAAATCTTTGGATGAAAGTCAATTACTGACACTCATACCAAGTCCTAAAACTCTAAACATCTCTAGTTAACATATTATACAAATGAATGTTTACAACTTGATTCAAATATAGGCTTTCAAACATGAAAATTATTTTTTTTCTTTTGAGTATGGTGTGTCATCCCACACACGGAATAAGGTACACAGAATTCACAATTTCTCTGATAAATGGAGAAATCACCTTTGAGATGTTTTCTTTTGATTTTTTAATTTACTCTTATTAATATAATGTTCATTTGTTCACAATGACAAAGAAGGAAGAGATGAAGAATTTTTAGAGAAATGTCTGATTCCAGGTTTGGGATAGGAAATGTTCAATATGAGCCCAGAATTTTGTTACACTAGAAAATAAAGAAGCCATAGAAGTCTACTAGGGTTGTTTCAAAAGGATTCAAGAGCTGACTTCAAGAGGCTTCCACTTGCCAAAGATAGGTCAATTTGAGCACTAATGGAAATAATAATCACAATAGATTGAAACGCATAAGATCTGTTCAAGCCTGCAGTCATAAGATACTTTAGAAGGATGACAAAGAATCAACTTATTATTTTGAAAACCAGTAAATAAGTGAATCAAGCAATTATTCTTCCTTTCTTATATGAACTATACCTCAAGGTAACTATTTGAGAAGAAGTTGCTCTTTATAGAATTATGCTAGCCAATAAATGAAGAAGTGAGTATCAATGACTATCTACATCACAAAAAGAGAGCCTCCTGATAGAAGCACGTACTGCTACCCATGAAGCATTTTTGCCAAATATCAAAACATATTTATTTAAGCTTCTAGATCTAACTATCAATTCATAGGATATACTGGGGACAGAAGAACAGCTAATTGACACCACAGGGATGCCATCAGGAAAGTTCAGAATGTTGAAAACCCAACAGAACAAATGAACAGGTTTTTTTCTTCCAACAAATTGTAAGGAAAAAAGATGGAGGAATAATCTAGAGAAAATGAGACTTAAGAGATGTATAGATTAATAACAATGTAGGAATTCTTACAAGGATTCTGATTCAAACAAAGAAACCATTAAAAAAATCACAAGACAATTGGTGAAGTTTGAACATGGACTGGATATTGAATATTCTGCAATTATTGTTAAATTATTTTTGGTATGATAATAGTATTACGGTTTTGTTCAAAAAAGTCTTTGTGATACATACTGAAATACGATCAGATAAAATAATAAGATCCGCTTAAAAATAATTTGAAGTAGGTAATGAGACTGGTCACAAGTTTAATTATTCAAGTTAGTGATGTGTACAGATGGATTAAGTTACTTTCTCTAATTTTTTTCCTCTATTTTTTATCTAGTTTTGAAAATTTCCATAATAAAAAGCTTTTTAAAAAAGTCTACAATAGCCAAGCATGGTGGCTCATGCCTGTAATCCTAGCACTCTGGGAGGTCAAGAAGGGAGGATCATTTGAGGCCAGGAGTTGGAGACCAGCCTGAGCAAGAGCTAGACAGTCTTTGCTAAAAATAGAAAAAATTAGCTGAGTGTGCTGATGTGCACCAGTGGTCTTAGCTATTTAGGAGGTTGAAGCAGAAGGATTGCTTGAGTATGGGAGTTTGAGGTTGCAGTGAGCTGTGGTGATGCCACTGCACTCTAGCTAGGACAACAGAGAGAGACTGTCTCCAAAAAGAAAAAATACAAATAGTGGAGAATATATTAATATCTATTTTATTTACCAATTACTCCATTGTTTTTTATAGCATTTGTTTTCCTGGAGATCACTTTTAGAATATTATTTACAGATTTCTAGGAGGCTAAGCTAATTCAGCTTCTGTATAAAAACACAGACATATGTATATTTTTTATAATGATTCAAACCAGAAAATGTAAATAAAGATAAAAAATTTTACCATCACCAATTTTTTGAGTCAGACCAATAGCTAAACTGTACGAATGCATTAAGATGGAAACAAAGCCATATTTTTTCATTTCCATTAATAATGGACAAGTTTTAATAAGTATATAATCATTTCTAGGTTGCAGACTCAAGAATATTTGAACACTGAAATTAGACACCCATTTATAGACAGGTTTTTTTATTTTTGTTTTTTCAGGCAGGGTCCTGCTCTGTTGCCCAAACTAGAGCGCAGTGGCACCATCATAGCTCACTGTTACCTCAGACTCCTGGGCTCAGGTGACTCTCCTGCTTTAGCCTCTTGAGTAAGCTGGGACTACAGGCACATGCTACCACATCTGGCTAATTTTTCCTTCTGTTTTTTTTTTTTTTTTTTCTCTTCTTGCTCTTGTAGGGATAATACTTTTTCTATTTTTTGTAGAGATGGGGTCTCACTCGTGCTCAGGCTGGTCCTGAACTTCTGGCCTCAAGCAATTCTCCTGCTTTGGCCTCCAAAGTGCCAGGGTTACAGGCATGAGCCACTGTACCTGGCTACATAGGCAATATTTTAAAAGAAAAATTGCAGCTAAACAATCCCTAACTATGATGCTACAGACTTAGCCCTCCCATTAGATAACCTAATAAGTCAGGTGCGCGGTGGCTCATGGCTGTAATCCTAGCACTCTGGGAAGCCAAGGTGGGGCGGACTGCTCAAGGTCAGGAGTTTGAAACCAGCCTGAGCAAGAGCAAGACCCTGTCTCTACCAAATATAGAAAGAAATTAGCTGGACAACTAAAAATATATATAAAAAATTAGCTGGGCATGGTGGCGCATGCCTGTAGTCCCAGCAATTCAGGAGGCTGAGGCAGTAGGATTGCTTGAGCCCAGGAGTTTGAGGTTGCTGTGAGCTAGGCTGACGCCACGGCACTTTAGCCTGGGCAACAAAATGAGACTCTGTCTCAAAAAAAGAAAAAGAAAAAGAAAACCTAGTAAGTAAACTCAATTTTCTTTTTTTTTTTTTTTGAGACAAAGTCTCACTCTGTTGCCCTGGCTAGAGTGCCGTGGCATCAGCCTAGCTCACAGCAACCTCAAACTCCTGCGATCCTCCTGCCTCAGCCTCCTGAGTAGCTGGGACTACAGGCATGCGCCACCATGCCTGGCTAATTTTTTCTATATATATTAGCTGGCCAATTTATTTCTTTCTATTTATAGTAGAGACAGGGTCTCACTCTTGCTCAAGCTGGTTTCGAACTCCTGACCTCGAACAATCCACCCGCCTCAGCCTCCCAGAGTGCTAGGATTACAGGCGTGAGCCACCGTGCCTGGCCAGTAAACTCAATTTGCAATCGTGAACCTAAATAAGAAACAGAAAAATATGGTGTATATTAAAGCATGGTTAGGCTTCACTATGTAATATGTACTTAAAATCACTGAAAATGATCTTAGAACTCATTTAGGAAATTTAATTTTTAAATTTTTTGTCTACCTATTTCAGTTTAAATTTGAGGAAAAGAACTCTAAAGAAGTTAAGGGGCTTGTTCAGAATTATAGGCCTAGGACTGAAGCCAGGCCTGTAAGACTGGTCATCTTTCTTTTACTGATAGAGGTCTTTTTTTTTCCTTCTAAGAATGACAAAGCTGGTGTCTTTAAAATGACTGTCAAAATGTGTTGTTTTATGAAGTCTATTAGCATAATTAATTAGTTGGTCATTTAAGTCCTGATGTTGTCAAGGCCCTTACTACACCATTTCTTCCACAAGTGGCTCAAAGAACTGAGAAAATAATACTCAGTCATACTCTCCTGTTTCAGTAGCTCTCAGACAGCTCTGGCAGGGAGTGAGCTAAGTATCACAAGTAAGGTTTTTCAATTGTTTATATTAAATGAATCAATGGTTGGAAAGGGCTTAGATCACTGCCTGGATCATAGTAAGAGCTTTGTGTTTATTAAATAAATGAATAAATTTATAAATATCTCATAAACAGAGATATCCAAGAATCATCTGAAAACTACAGTACAGAACATTATCATAAACTGTTATTTAAAACTAGCTGATTTTGTTTTCCTTTCAAAAATCCATTGTACCTTTATTTCTATAAAACTAAATTACTAAAAAAAGGTCTTCATCTTTGAAAAGAATTAACCATTTCCCCTGTAAAACCTTCTGAAAAGAATGACAATGTCATTACCATGTGCAGTACGGAAAATATGAATTAGTTACACATTTAAAAAAATAAGTAATAATTCTTACCTTTCCAAGGTTTTCTTGTTCAGCAATATTTTTGGTATACTGTTCCCTAGGGAGTCAACATAATGATTTACTTTCAATTTATTTCAGTTGATTTGATCATACAACTAAATTATAAATCAATATACCTATCTAAATATATTAGGCAATGTAGTTTAGGTTACTGGAGTCAGAATGAAACCCATTATCAAATACTTTGTCTTTCCCTATCTGTCAGTTCTTCTAGTAAATAGTAATTTAAGGGAAAAAAAGAAGCCAAAACATTGCATAGGAAATTAAGAGAATTAAAAAGTTAAGCACTATTTCTGGTTAATTTACCCTTAAAACAATGGCAACCCATTTGCTTAAATTACACTTTGTTTTTGAAGAAGTTTACAGAAAGGGGAAAGGATAAATTTTTTAAAAAAACATTAAATAACATCTAACCTTGCAATTCATTTTAGAAAGTCATTCTATAGAAAAACGCCCAAAATTTAAACATAAAAGCAAAGACTATTTACTTCATCAATGCTTATAATAGTGAAAATCTACAAATAAACTAAATGTCTATAGATGGGAAATGTTTAAGTAAATCATGGTATATTCATTCAAAGGAATAATATAGAGTTGTACAAAAAGTGTGGTGAGGCCAGGCGCAGTGGCTCACGCCTGTAATCCTAGCAGTCTGGGAGGCCGAGGTGGGCGGATTGCTCGAGGTCAGGAGTTTGAAACCAGCCTGAGCAAGAGCGAGACCCTGTCTCTACTGTAAATAGAAAGAAATTAATTGGCCAACTAATATATATAGAAAAAATTAGCCAGGCATGGTGGTGCATGCCTGTAATCCCAGTAATCCAGCTACTCGGGGAGGCTGGAGGGCAGCAGGATTGTTTGAGGCCAGGAGTTTGGAGGTTTGCTATGAGTAGGCTGATGCCACTAAGGGTAAATTAACCAGAAATAGTGCTTAACTTTTTAATTCTCTTAATTTCCTATGCAATGTTTGGCTTCTTTTTTCCTAAAATTACTATTTACTAGAAGAACTGACAGATAGGGAAAGACAAAGTATTTGATAAGGGTTTCATTCTGACTCCAGTAACCTAAACTACATTGCCTAATATATTTAGATAGGTATATTGATTATAATTAGTTGTATGATCAAATCAACTGAAATAAATTGAA